AACACGCCATCTGTGAAAGGCCCATCCAAGACATATGGTAGCATGACTTGCTCCACGATATCCGAATAGGTTTCTGCCGTCATTCGTCCAGATATCCTGTGCAGGGGACCGAGGCCGTCGTGGCTGATGGCTCCCCACACGTGAACGCACGTGCGCCCGCTTGAACGCACGTCCCATATATATAGCCATCCTCGTATCTGCGTGAAGAACATTGCAACAATCAATACATATATATTAAAAAAAGTGCCCTTAAATCAGGAATCCGTATTTCAAAAGTGTATAGCAAATATCTACGCAATTTTGGGGCAATTACGAAAACTTACCGACATGCGTGTGGGCGCCACACCCTCTGCTGCTGGTCCCAGCGCGTGCAGAATGATGCCTCGTCTGTGAACACCACACTGCGCCACTTCTGCGGGCACCATGACTCGACGACAGATGCAAACTCCATGCGCTGTTTGCGGTGCCTGTCGTCTAGGAGAGTCTTTCGCGCAGCGATCCTGCTGTGAATCCCTGCTTCGTGGAGCCTTCTTCGAATAGTAGAGACGCTGACATTTTCCAGCTCAAGTTCGTCCCCAATCTCTCGAGCGCTCAAGAAAGGGTCTACAACGCACGCTGCTACAATCAACTTGTCCTCTTCCGTCGATGTCGCTCTCTCTCGCCCACCACGCGGAAGGTCAGCTATGCGGCCCTCTCGGTAATAGGCTTGCAGAACTCTGCTAACTGTAGCCATAGGGCGCCCTGTGGACTGACATATTGCTCTGTGAGACATGGTACGCCCCATTAAAGCAATAGCTCTACGCTCATCGTGTGTCAAACGGGGAGCCATCGTGTAATAACCTTTATGCTCAGGATTATGCTACGAATCTGCTGCGGCCCTGGTTCTGTTTGATTATATGAGGAAGTTGTGACACACCCCTCTAATCTCTTTTTTTTTTTTAAGTGTTAGAAGAAAAGATATCAGCGTCGTCTTCGCCTCTTTCGCCGCCAATGTCATCAATCGGACAACATATTCGCTTTTATTTTCTGACGATACCACAGCAAGCATTACAAAGTGAACGCCGAACTGCGTATCACGTCAACAGTGGTTCAATAACCCAACAGGCCATCGCGATGAGGACAAGATGAAGACAACTATATTCCGCCTTACCCTTCGATAGACGCCAAAGCAAGGAGACGTAAGGTGCAATCATGGGCTACTTATGAATCACGTGGTATGTTCCTCACAAGATACGTATGTCGGAGGAATCTACCACGTGGATTCTAACTGACGCGCCATTTTACCTGCCTGCCTGTAACTTTGGCTCTCAGTACAGCGTAGGGCGATATAAAGTATATGGTCCCGTGAAGCGCCTTTGAAGCGCTACTAAGTTTTAGCACATAAATCAGGAGGAAGCGGGCAGCGATTGATAAAAGAAACGCTTATTACTTAAAAGGAAAATTCAAATTTGAATGTCTCTATTCTCGGAGACAACTTGCTGTGGCAAAACAAAAAGATGATTAAAGTGGGCGCAAAGTGAATGGCACACTTTCTCCTTTACCATCGACTGCATTGCAGCCTAAAGTTTTCCACGGGTATAGTGTCTTGCAAATTCTTCGAAGGTTTTCGGCAATTCCCAGTGTAATTTGTGCGACTTTCACTTCAATCTATACGAAAAATAAAAGGCGCTCATATTTTACAGCTCTTTCATGCGTCTCATTTTAGGCACTCGACTGGAATGCTGGTGATTTATTCTTAATGATTAGGCTTCAATTTAGGCTAAGGAGTTTACACTTTCTGGCGTCAAAACAACGTATTCATAAAACAGCCGTTCTTCAGAGTCTAATTGCTTAGGAGGTGGGTAGGTTTTGCTTGCTTTGATTACATAAAAAGATGTAGGTTGGTAATTTATTAGTCTCGTAGTCGTTTGCAAAAAAGAGATGGGAGTGAGATGATCGCACTGTAGCTTTTAAAGAGAAAATGCTAAAGAGATAACCAGCACTTGAATTGGTAGCGGTGAGGAAGCATTACACGCAAACAAGAAAATGCGTAGCTTCCCGCGCACACCGTGATAGGTTTCGCGCTACTACGGAAGCAAGCGCGTGAGTTCAGCGGCTGAACTCCTCTCAGAAAAACGCACGATAATGCGGAGCCGGCGGCGCGTGGGCCGCCACGCCTAGCGCCTTGATTTCGTAGATTGAAGGCGCCGAGCGCTCCTCTAGCGGTCGGTGGAGTCTGCCGATGGGTCAGCACAGACATCAGCCTGTGCCCAGCGCTGCATAATGGCGGCGCATGCTCAGAGGAGCGCTATCTCGGCCCGAGTGTCTGTCGGCAGATGTCGCACGCGCAGTCCGGAGCGCACCGTTCCCGCGCTCTAGACAGGTTTGATGCCGACTGTACTGTTTTGTCGCGCTATTGTTTTGGCGTAGTTCTCTTCTGTCACTCTACCTTTTCGACGCTGTGCTGTTTCGTCGCGTTGCTGTTTTGACACTGTGCTGTCTTGACGCCGTGCCGTTTTGTCGCGTGCTATTTTGACGCGTGCTGTTTTGTCGCTGTGCTGTTTTGACGCTGTGCTGTCTTGACGCGTGCTGTTCTGACCGTGCTGTTTTGTCGCGTGCTGTTTTGTCGTGTGCTGTTCTGTCGTGGTGCCAACTAACTAGCGTAGTCTTTGAGGAATTCACACTGATTATGTTTGACTGAAACCAGTCCATTGCGAGAATAATGTATTTTTGTAATTCTTCAATAACCACATCATAGTTCGCATGGCTTGAAACCAGAAGCGTATCGTCCGCGTATTCGAACACTCTACAGTCGGAAAGAGTAGAGAGAAAATCATTTACGTATAAATTGAATAATAAAGGCGACAAAACTGAGCCTTGCGGCACCCAGGCCTTAAGGCAAGCTCTACTGCTCTTGAGATCTCTAATGGCGAATTCCGCTGGGTGTTTTGGAGCGCGCCGGGATCGGTTCAGCAGATCCGGAATGGCGCACACGATCCGAACAGGGTCGCGCCGCCTACGGATCCCCAGTGGAACATGACCACTGCTCCGTGATCGGCGGATGCCTTCCCGTCATTCAACTGCCCGGGAATCCCCTTTCCGCGGCCGTCGCGGTCGCTTCGAAGACGGCAGGAATGAATCAGGAGCTTCTAGTAAAGACTGCCGGAATGCCCGTAGCGCGGCAATCCTTCTCTTCTCCTTCCTGGAAACCGAACCGGCTGTCGAGCCAAGGGTAAGCAAGCGGCCATTACCAATACTTCTGAGGCGAGATGGCCGAGATCAGGCGAGATGCCCCGCGAGAAAGGAAGTCACATGTGTTCGCCGAGGGCTGGCCCGGCTGGTTTCCTGTTGAATCCGCCAAATCGTCGGAGCGACTTTTCTCGGATCCAGATCGAGATCTGGAGCGGGAGCTAATCCAAAACGACCAGTGGAACACGCCGGTCTCGATCCCGATCGCCCAGTGAAATAGGCTCGCTCCAGAAAAAGGCGTTCCCGCCGCGCTCCAAAACGACCAGTAAAATTCGCCATAAAAGTCACAACCTGGGACCGTCCTGAGCAGTACCCGTTTAGAATCGAAAGAAAACATGCTACGCATTAAAGCTAAAAAAATTAGCGCTAGAATTTCATTTCCGCACCCCTTTTAACGCCGCTTTGTAAATGGGTATTTTATCGTATAAAACTGATATCTAAGTGTTTATCGAAAAAAAAAGCATTTTTTTTATAAACATTTACACACAGACACTTACAAACACAAAAATGTTTGCTTTCCAAGGGCGGCAGACGGAAAAAGTGCTCGCATTTAACAGTTACCTATAGTCGTTTTTAAGTCACGCTTGACCGCTCCAACCCCGAGAACCTGCGTAATTTTAGAAGACCACTACATAAGTCACGGGGCGCCCGCGGCCATGTAACCCACGAGTCGACAGTACTCTTCCCGTATTGAGCAGTACCGCACCGGGAGCGGCAAAACACGGTTAACAAAGCCTCTGAGGCCGACAACTTATAATTGCCTTCGAAGGCAGTCAAGACTAATTTCTTTGATTTAGGGGCGAAGCCAAAGGGTATGAAGGTAGGCATCGGATGCGCTGAAATTAGAACGAAAGCATCGTCCTTCATATTCGTGAGGAGATGTTTTGGTGTCGCCCTGTTGAGATTCCTACCAGTGACATCAAGACCGGTTCCAAATGGAAATTTGATGGTGCATGTCAAAATGAAAGTTACCATTATTTCTATTGTAGACGTATAGTTAGACGTATAGTTATCTTGGAAAGGGAAAACGGCTACATTTTTTGCTGGGTGCCTGTCTCCACTGTAGACCGCGACAACGTTTCTTGGCAATGCAGTGGAAGCTACAGGCTCGCATTGCCTTTTCCATTTTGAGCGCTGAATAAAGCAGTGCGCGGGCTCTCCTACTCTCCGCGGAAATGCCAAGAAAAGTTATCGCGCAGTGTAGATTTTTCCCAAAAATCCCACAATGTCTTTCGACAACCGCAGATTGGAGCACATGGCGCAGTGAATTGTGCGGCCGTTCCAATGTACTCTCGAATAAGCTCGCAGGCTCCGTACATTCTGGAAGTCGCTGGTTTCATTATCTCTGCTCACTGCGAGTTCAGGACTCGAAGAAAACAAAGCGAGCAGATCACAGAGACGATAATGCCCTGCTTTGTTATCGAACCGCACTTTTGGCGTTCTGAAATCGCAAAAAAAAACAAAAAAAACAAGATTATTGGCTCTTGTACTGTGTCAGAAATGCGCTTAGGGGCACTGCGTATTCTCGGAATGCGCTATTGCGATACATTCCTAACGTGCCACATTTTCCCGGTGTAAATATATCCGGCTTCATGATACGGATTTAATTTTCTAATCATTTTTAGCAGCTAGAACCGAGCATTTGTCTAGGTAACCTTAAAGTATAAAACACGCATTTATATTACATTCTTCTTACTTGGTATATTTCAAATCCGAACACGAGCAATGTATTGCCCGGCGTTTTCCCACAAAGAAGGAAGGCTGTGCGTTACCTTCAAAAGATTATTGTAGTCCTGGACGGTACTGCTATTCGTTATAGTGGCGTGCGCTTGGAACTTGAGCAGTCCATAATGCCGGATGTTCATTTTCCATAAGTCTGTAAATGTGCTCCTACCATCGGCTTTGTTGAGGTCGTCGTATGCTCCAAGGGCATTGCTGGGAGAAATTGCACATATGCATAAGCTCTGGTTGAATAATACTCGATTCAATTGCCACCTCAAGAGCACCGTTCTCAGTTAACAAAAAATACAAATAAAAGTCCTTAAAATATATACCGTCTAATTAAAACGGTGATATCTGCAGTATATCCGCAGAACCAGCCTCAAGCAAAGCAACTCGTGCATTCGTTTACAAGTTATCTGAAGACATCAATCCATAAGCTAGATAGGAATGTTTCAGCGAAGGGTTTAAGGTATCTCTTATAAACGGATGGTTGTGAGGAATAAAATGAAACTATTTTCTTCTGGACGCCAACGAAAGAAAAAAAAAGAAACTAAATAAGAAATTTATTTGCAGCACCGTAATTTAATTAGTGAAAATAAACATGATTTCCGAAAGAATCTCGATAAGTAGAATCGAAAACCACAAAATCAACTTATTTTGAAAAGATGCAGTATGCCAGATGTAACATTTAGCTACGTTCCAAAAAAGAAACAAAGCAAAAAAAAACCGCTCAATTTGGACGGGTTTCTAGGATTTGGTTTTCTATTGGAGCGTATCTTTATGCCCACAGTCATGACCCCCAGTGGCAGAAATGTGCAACGCCACGTGCGTTATACTTCCCTCCATCTTACCAATGAGGCGAGGCGGTGGCTTCGCGACTCGGCCGTCAGGGCGCAGGACTGAGGGCGCAAAGATACTGTCTTGTAAGGAGCATAAACCCATAAATGCGTCCAAAGGGATTTTGTTTGGGGACAGCCATAGAAACGTTGCACTTGCCTTAATATTTCTAAAATTACTTGATTTAGGAGTATCTGATGATGCTTGGCAACTTCTCTATTAAAATACTATGTTTATTTTTATTGATTAAAATTTTAAATATAACATGTGTAGCTAATTGACAGTTTTTACAATCTTTAACGTCCGTCGCGGCTGTCACAATCTTCTGAAAAGAGTTTCTTTTTTGCTCAATCACCCTAATTTAGTTATTTTTTAACGCCTTCAATGAAACACCCGTTGCAAGTAAAATAAACATTTTTTTTAATGTCTTTGCGCTTTTTTGACAATCAGGAACCGGTTCGGGCTCTGAGACCATATTTAAAATAAAATTTAGAGATTGACTTGTCACTACGAAATGCGCTCGTGCATTATTTGTGCACGACGCGAATATTTTATTTATTAGCTTAAAAGGCAGTGAAGACCTCACGAGTGAAATTGTCGGTCTCAAACGGTTTGGAAGCACCTGACTAAAGGCCCGACCTCACAAGCGTTGCGGAGGCTTCCCGCACGCCGCTGGCCGCCGCGGGCTAAAGGCCGAAACTAGTTTTCGCCCTCAGCGGATCGCCGCTTGGCGCAGTCAAGGCAACCTGCCAGTGCAAGCTTCAGGGCTCGCCGTTTCTTGCCGCAGAAGAAAGAAGCCAATGGGCGGTGGCGTATATAGTGACGTTGCGACGCCATGGCAAAGTGCGAGCCGCTTCTCCGCGCTGCTTTAGCGTTGCGACGGAGCGGAGCGTTGTTTTGTTTCGTCTGCTATCCCTACTTCCCCCAATGCCTTTCTAAACGGAGCTGTTCCTGGAAACACTGCCACTGTTTCCCTTTTTAGAGCGCAGCTCTTATGCGCCCGTTTCCGGCTTGAGCGGCGTCGTCGTCGCCGTCGGTGGCGGCGTCGCCGTAACAGCGTGGTGCGTTATGGGCAAATTCCCCCGCTAAATTTAGCGGAAAAATTTCCGCGCTAAATTTATCGGAAAAAATTTCCCGCTAAATTTAGTGGAAAAAGTTTCCCACGAAATTTAGCGGGAAAAAATTCCCTGTTTAATTTAGCGGAAAAATTTTCCCCTAACGGGAGGCGAGCAGGAGAGAATGAGGGGCACAGCGTCCTCTCCGTACCTTCCCGTTCTCCTCCTCAAGAGCTGCGCTCTAATTCGGCGCTACTGGGGATTGTAAACGTCTTTCATTTTTTATGGACAATTTCTACGCAGCCAGACTACCTAGATAAGGAACGATAAGAACAACCACTAGGAAATTATCAAAGATGAATTCGGAATAACTAGTCAGCTGCTCCGTGGCACTGGTCGCATATCGCCCGCGTTGTGACTGTTGTCGTGTTAATTCGGTGACACTCTTGAAAGTAGCCTTCATCTCTTCGGTAGCATCAAGTCGGCCGGACCCGAAACCTGTGGCTTCGCAGGTTTCGGGTCAGAGAGCGGCTTCGACCAACGAGCAGGTTACAATGATCTCATTCACGTTCATCACCAGATGATCATGGACACCTACCATGTAGACAGCGAGTACGGTTTGGATGGTGATATATGCGAAAGATAAGAGCCGAAATGGAAGAATCTGACAAAGAACAGACGACGAAAGAGCGGCAAATCTGGCGGACGCTCGGCACGTGTCCTCGAGAACGCGGGAGTCCGTGCTGTCACCTGACTATAACGCCCGTAAAACCAAGGCCAGGTGCCGGACGGCGGCACCGCCCACAGGCGCCGACCGGCGGCGCTGTTGCCGCTAGTGTGGTCACACATTTAAACGTTTTTTACACCGACAGGGTCCGCGCGGAGGAAGGTATGCCAGCGTTTGCGATCAAGCTCAGCGGCTTCCAGCCTTTACACCACCGCTAGGTGGCTCCGAGGCGAGAGCGCCGGCCTACGGATCCCCAGGTGGCGGTTTCGAATCCCGACCGAGGTGCCCGCAATATGACGGAGGCTTATTGCGGAGAAGGCGCCGTGTAACCGAGCTTTCGGTTGCACGTCAAACGATCCCCCGGTGGTCCAAATTAATCCTCAGTCCTCCACTGGAGCGTGCCAGATGCCCGTCATAGGTTTGGCACGTAAAACCCCCAATTTGACTTTTGACCACCGCAGACGAATTTAGTGCTTTCCACACTGGACACAGAAGCGTTTAACGACCAATTATCGTGAAAAACAAACCTATCCGCAGCCAAACCGAAATTGTTCGCACCCTCAAAGCATAGTTTTCTTCCTCCGCCGACGAGATAGCGTCAGCACGCCGCATCGAAAGAGCCGGGCGCTTTTGTACCGCGATGCCTATGCCGAGGAGAAACCCCCGAGATTCATCTCTCGTGTGAATACTCCTCTCAGCGCCGGATTAGTGTCACAGGACGGTGAAACCTGAGAGCGTTATAAGGCTGTCAGTTGGGAAAGTTATTGCCCATGGAAGTTCTTCGTTGTCCCTGTACTATTTTATTCCTTGATCTCAAAAAGAGAGCTGAGACTTTGTACATTTTAAACACCAGCATTTCGAGAAACTAAAATCTGAATTGGTGTGTAGGTTTGTGATGACCAATAAAGAAACAATGCGCGCGTTGCATTAGGGGATGTTACAGGTCACGGCTTCATGAAATGAGGCTTCATGAAATACGGAGAACCTATCCAAAGAACGTTTCATGTTAAAAAATAGTTCCTTGGTCCTCTGGAGTGCAATTTCAGTGACAACGAGACATTTCAAAACACATCGTCTCAACGTGGGCTAATACTGATTTCAATTCTTCTTAGAAACAACGGGTTAAACCTCTGCTGGCTAGAAATCTATACACACGAATGGCCCTGGTATGCACGTCAAGTCAGAATAATACCCGTGGTCAATTCCTATTCCGAATTGGGTGGTTCCGCTGTCGATCCGGGCGAATTCCAGAAACCACTGGAACCCGACCGAGCTGCGGTCGAGAAAGGTGCCCCTCCCAGATTTGTAGAAGTAGTCCCAGAAAATGATGTCGCAGAGGCCTTTCTCGGGCCGCGCTGTAGACGTCTTCGACTGATTCCCAAAAGTACATAAAATCGTCTTATTTGGCAGCGTCCCTGCAAAAGAAAATGCTGTATTATTGACTAAGTGAATGAAGAACCTATACCAGCTATAGACGTAAAATATCGCAAGGACAACGAAATGAAAGTGGCCTGAACGACCTTTTAGCCCCAGACACAATGCGCTGGCCCGGCCTTCATAGATTTCCTTTTTTCTCTATCCTGTCGCACTGTCCTCTGCTTTCTGCTACATACATTATGATCATAATAGTATCGAGGTGTTTCAGCGAATATTTCCAACCACTTTCTACCAATAAAGTGGTAGAGAAAAAAAAGGAACTCTTAATGAAATAAACTGCTAGATACAACGAACGTCAGAAAGAGCACAAGCATTATAATTAACTTAATGTTTAAATACACTTAATAACACACTTTTTAAGCCGTGCACATAAACATATGGTGTTTCAGACACTGCTCAGACTGATTGAAAATCCCTATATTAGTCGATATTGCCGCGCGCCAAGTAGGCAGCGCGGCCGTAGCCTAACGGTTATCGCGCTTGCCTCCCACGCGAAGGGCCAGGGTTCGATTCCTGGCCGCGGCTATGCATTTTTGTTAACACTGTAATGTGATGTTCTGGTGAAATCGAGAACCGTCTAGCTGATTCGAGGTCAGAATTTTCTACGCGTCGAACCTTCTACGTCGAATGCTCCAGAAGCCAACGTGTGTACAAAAGCGGCTCCGCAGGCAAGCCGGAGTCAGTTTTCGCTCCAGCGTTCGACTGTGCTGCTACGCCGACTTCGACGCCCGCGACGCTCTGTTATTATCTTTGTTCTCCCTTTAGTTTTTGGCACAAGTTCGCCACATTAAACGTTTATTTCTTCCCGTTTATTTCCTTTTATTTTGGTCACCACCCGTGACATTTTGGTGGAGGTGCGGGGTAGCGCATGCCCGTGCAGCGTTCCCCTCCCAGGGCCCGCAGTGCAAGCCCGATTCCGAGCCCGGTGAGAACACCACTCGACGCGGAACCTGAAACTCGGACCAGTCGCCGCACCCAAGGTCTGCACCCGGAATACGGACTTCTGCCACCCAGGACCAAGCAGCCGACGAAGCCGACGATGGACGGCCAGCAGTCACAGACCCCGGCCGCTCCTGCCTTCATCTACCTGCCAGTCGCACCCCGGACTCCGACGCCATTCCACGGGGACGCCCACGAAGACGTCGAGGACTGGCTTCAACAGTACGAGCGGGTGGCCCAGCACAACCGATGGACGGACGACCAGCGCCTGCAGAACCTTTACTTCGCGCTCGAAGGAACGGCCAGGCACTGGTTCGAGAATCGGGAGACATCATTGATCTCGTGGACCGCCTGCAAGAATGAGTTGAGGCGAACTTTCACAAACCAGTATCGACGGGAGAGGGCCGAGGACCTTCTTCGAATGAGAACCCAGGGCGCAAACGAGTCTATCACCAGTTTCGTCGAGGATGTCCTGCGCCTGGTCACTCGCGCCGACCCTCAAGCCACCGACGAAAAGAAGTTGCGGATCCTGATGCGAGGCGTACGAGATGACATTTTCGGAGGCCTCGTCCGCAACCCGCCGACCACCGTCGAAACGTTTGTAACAGAGGCGACCAACATTGAACGGGCCCTGCAAGCACGAGCCGCTCACTTCCACCGAGCTCCTGCCGTCGCTGCACCCACGCCGTCAAGCTGCGCCCTCAGCACCAATATTCCGGGGATCCGAGAAATAGTCCGGGACATCGTCCGTGAAGAACTGAAGAAGCTGATACCTGCCGCCGAACACCCAGCTTCACTCTCGATCGCCGAGATTGTTCGAGAAGAGGTCCAGCAAGCGCTCCAGCCAGACGTTCTCGCCGACGCCGCACCGAAACCACCAGCTGTGACCTATGCCGCCGTTGTTCGTCGTCCGCAGCCCCCTACTGCTCGGCACTACCCAGCTGCACCCCAACGAGAAGTCTCTTCGCCGCAGTACGCGCCGCGCCAAGAGCAGCGTGGACTTCGAAAGACCGACGTGTGGCGCACGGATGACGGACGCCCGGTGTGCTTCCACTGCGGGGAGGCTGACCACGTTTACCGGAGGTGCCCCTACCGCCAGCTCGGCCTGCGAGGATTCGCTCCAAACGACCGTCGACCTCGTTTTGGAGAACGACCAAGGGACATCGAGGAATACCTCCGTCGCCCTCCGTCACCAGCGCCCACCGCACCTCGAGGTTCCCGTTCTCCATCCCCCCGACGTTCCGCGTCGCCCTTTCGTCGGTCGCGCCGTGACAGCCTGTCCCCCCTATCCCGTCGGGAAAACTAAGTACGGCAACGCCTGGAGGTGCCGTTGCCGAAGACGACCCGAGTAAAGAGCCTCCAAGAACGCCGGAGCGCTCCCACTCTCCCGACGTCACGCATCGCTACGACGCCCCTGCAACGGTGTCCAACAACCTAAACGTCGTCATCGACGGCCACGACGCATCGGCACTCGTGGACACCGGAGCAGACTACTCAGTCCTGAGTGGGAGGCTCTCCCGCCGCCTTCGAAAAGTCATGACGCCGTGGGAAGGACCCCAAATACGAACCGCCGGAGGACATCTCATCACACCAGTCGGGAGATGCACTGCTCGCGTCGAGATCCACGGTGAAACGTGCCCTGTCAAGTTCGTCGTTCTACATGACTGTTCGAGGGACGTTATCCTCGGAATGGACTTTCTCTGCGAGTATGGCGCCGTCATCGACCTCGGAACAAACCGGCTGACGCTACGAAAACCTGCTCCACCAGCGGAGGAACCCCAAGCGACGGCACCCACGGTCCGAGTCCTCGCAAACCACGTAAACCTACCACCGCGGTCGAGTGTTTTCGTACTTGTCGGGATCGATGAAGCTTCCTCTGGCGAAGTTCTTCTCGAGGGAAGCCTCCAACTGCTCCTGGGAAGAGGCATAGGCGTCGCAAGGGGAGTAGCTGAACTTCAGGATGGGCGGACTGTGGCCCTCGTGACGAACTTCCGAAACGAAGCGCAACACCTCACGAAAGGTGCAGCCGTGGGCCACGTCGAGAGACTCCGAAACCCCGCCGAAATCACCGCGATTACTGACGAATCCTCGCCGCCACAGCAAGACAGTACGTCGCCAGCGCAGCTCGACATTGACCCTAAGCTTCCGGACTCTAAACGGCGTCAGCTGGTTAACCTCCTCGCCGAATACCGCGACTGCTTTGCGACGTCGTCGAAGGTGCGCCAGACCGCGGTTGCCAAGCACCGCATCGTTACTGAGGACGACGCGCGCCCTGTGCATCGATCGCCGTACAGAGTCTCCGCTAAGGAAAGGGAGGTGATCCATCAGCAAGTTCAAGAGATGCTGAATGACGACATCATCCAAGCTTCAAGCAGTCCAGGGGCCTCTCCAGTCGTGCTGGTTAAGAAGAAGGACGGAACGCTTAGGTTCTGCGTGGACTACCGGCAGCTGAACGCGGTGACGAAGAAAGACGTCTACCCACTTCCCCGCATCGACGACACGTTAGACCGGCTGCGCCACTCTCGATACTTCTCATCGATGGACCTGAAGAGCGGCTACTGGCAGATCGAAGTCGACGAACGGGACCGAGAGAAGACAGCTTTCGTCACGCCGGATGGGCTGTATGAGTTCAAGGTGATGCCCTTCGGACTATGCACGGCGCCAGCAACTTTCCAGCGTGTCATGGACACCGTACTGGCAGGACTGAAGTGGCAGAGTTGTCTCGTCTACCTTGACGACGTCGTAGTATTTTCAGCTGACTTCGACGAGCACTTGAGACGACTCCGAGCTGTTCTCCAAGCCATTCAGACCGCCGGACTCACACTCAAGCCGTCAAAGTGCCGGTTCGCCTATGACGAACTGAAGTTCCTTGGCCACGTGGTTAGTAACGAAGGCGTCCGCCCAGACCCCGAGAAGACTCGCGCCGTCGCGGCATTTCCAGCGCCGACAGATAAGAAGGCCGTGCGAAGATTCCTTGGACTTTGTGCCTATTATCGACGCTTCGTTCGGGATTTCGCAAAGATTTCCGCACCACTTACGAATCTCACGAAGGCCGCCGAGAAGTTCGAATGGGCCGAGGAGCAACAGCAGGCATTCGACGAACTGAAACGACGACTCCAGACTCCTCCTGTGCTTGGACATTTCGACCAGGATGCGGAAACAGAAATTCACACGGACGCGAGTAACGCGGGACTGGGCGCAGTACTAGTCCAAGTGCAAGAAGGCATCGAGCGAGTCATCGCCTACGCAAGTCGGACATTGTCCAAGGCGGAAAAAAATTACTCCACGACTGAGAAAGAATGCCTTGCGGTCGTCTGGGCAATAACGAAGTTTCGTCCGTACTTGTACGGGAGCCCGTTCCGTGTAGTCACGGACCACCACTCGCTCTGCTGGCTTGCGAACCTGAAGGACCCGTCAGGACGCCTCGCTCGATGGAGTCTTCGACTACAAGAGTTCAACATGACAGTGGTCTATAAGTCAGGCCGCAAGCACAGCGACGCCGACTGCCTGTCCAGAGCCCCCGTCGAAACCCCTCCCGGCTGCAGCGACGACAATGACGACGAGTGCTTCCTAGGAGCAGTGAACACCGACGATATGGCACGACGTCAACGGGACGATCCTGAGCTGCGCGCATTAATCGAGCACCTGGAAGGGGGCAGGAGTACCGTGCCACGTGTCTTCTCACGAGTACTGCCGACCTTCGCCATCCGACAAGGTGTACTCTACAAAGAGAACTTCGGCGACAACAACACACCGTGGTTGCTGGTAATCCCGAGTGACCTTCGAGAGGAGATCTTCCAAGCCTGCCACGACGACCCGACATCCGGACACCTTGGTTACAGCCGGACACTGGCCCGTATTCGCGAAAAGTATTACTGGCCGAAGCTCCCCAAGACCGTCCACCTATACACACGATCATGCCACGAGTGCCAGCGACGCAAGAAACCGCCGACGAGGCCGGCCGGACTCCTGCAGCCTATTTCTCCTCCAACTGCACCCTTCCAGCAGATCGGAATGGATCTACTTGGTCCTTTTCCGC